CACAATAGCCCAACCCTTAAGATCCTCTTTGTCTTGGTTGGCGTATCGAGTATAATACACCTGCACGGCCTGTTAAGCCATAATGTAGACATCTTTTCCAGGATAGATGGAATCTTCTCGAATCTCCACTAGCCCAAGATGAGCGGTTCGTCTCGTTGATCGAGGATTAAACCAGTGGCATTTGAACATGACAGGTGTAAGAGGTTCGTCTCCATGAAATGAGAGTTCATAGATTTCCTCAACTCTACCATGATAGTCGAGGCCATCAGTGCCGGGCGTACAAACTCCGCTATTTGTGGTTTTTCGTTTGAGCCGAATCTGCTCGTAACTTATGGAGATGTCTGGGTTTCAGGCATCCAACGTCGCAACTCGCTCGAAGCCTTCTCAATTTTTTACCACAGCCTACACATGCGATAACATGACATCTCGCCAAGTTTCGTGATTTTCGGACTTCGTATGGATTTTATATAATTTTAAAACACTTTTCCAGCAAGTCGGTCGTCATGTTACGCGAACAAGATGCGTGAAAATTTGATGCGGGGTCGTGGATAGGGACTCAACATGCACCAATTAACATGAATAACATTTTTTGAAACACTACATTGCAATATTCCATGCACCTGCAGTTCAAATTTGACATATTCGAAAAAAATCAAAGAATCGAAATAAATTAAGGAAATATAGAAAACAAAATCAAAATTGGTCTAAATTTTAAAATTGAGTTCAAAATAATGTATTGTAGCACCACAAAAAAACTGAGCTAAAAAAACCAAAAAAAAATTGCCGAGGCTCTTTGCCGAGGGCCTGCCTCGTGGCCCTCGGCAAAGAATTTAAAAAAAAATAAAAAATCTTTGCCGAGGGTCTATCTTGGCCCTCGGCAGAGGGCTTCTTTGCCGAGGGCCTAGCCTCGGGCCCTCGGCAAAGGTGATTTATAAAAAAAAATTTGGCCGAAAAACTGGTTTTAAAAAAATCTTTGCCAAATGCCTGGTCTAGGGCCCTCGGCAAAGACTTAAAAAAAATTGCCGAATAATCTGGTTGCACAGGAAAAAAAACCTTTGCTGAGGGCCTAACGGGTGGCCCTCGGCAAAGCTTGACGGGAAATGGCCGTCGTGACCCAACGGGCCTAATTTGCCGAGGACATCTTTGCCGAGGGCCGCGGCCCTCGGCAAAGATTTGATTTGCCGAGGGCCTGTCTTTGCCGAGGGCCGTACCCTCGGCAAAGGCCTCTTTGCCGAGGGCCGTTCTTTGCCGAGGGCTCCTGTGTCTGGCCCTCGGCAAAGAGTGTCTTTGCCGAGTGCCCGAGATTTGGCCCTCGGCAAATCCTCAAGCCTTCGGTAAAGCACGCGTTTCCAGTAGTGGCTGTGGCACTTGCACCACGGAGTGAGGTCTATATATAGGCATGGGTCATGCGTCTGTGTGACTGATATATAGGACCTTCCATTCCATGCATGATCGAACTAGCAGTCATTCTTTGCTTGATAAACAATTCAGACAAATGTGCCTTTGCGCATCGATCGACGATCAGTGCCTTTCGCTTTCATCCCTTTTAACTTTTGGTCCCCGGCCAGCGGCCAGATTGGCAGAAGATGCCGCCTCCCGGGAGCCTTGGAAAGCTTGCATGCCGCTGCGAATAAGCACTGAGAGCCAGGTGGGCATATGTCGGAGGCTACCTACCTTTAGTTTTTTAATTTCGGAAGTGTCGAATTGATCTCTATCGGCCGATGGGGGAGAGATGGAGCCGTCGGTGATCGCTAAATTTGTGATGCGACCTTGTGGGTCTCGCGGCCTGAGGTGTCCTTGAAGATGCCTTTCTCATAACATTTGTGGTAATGTGTCGGAACCACGGACGGGGTCAGACTGTTGGGGGACTAAAACCATCAAGACATTTGAGGGAATCCGTAGTCTGTCGGCAGTTAATCGCGACGAATAACGAAGGTATTATTAACACAGGTGGAGCAAGATGAAATGGGATTAAACTAATATTATTATCATTATGTCTGTCTAAGATCGATTAAATGGAGTTAAAAATAACACTATATATCATTATGTATTTCAAATAGGGAAATGACACAAATTTATAGGGGAGATGATCGGGCGCCTCCCAAGTTACAAGGCGCTTGTGGCCGCCTGGGCATATACCCAAGTAAACATATTTTGAAGCACAACAGTTTTTTACTATTCTTAACATTACAAAACGCACCATCACTACCGATCTGTGTCACTATCGGATAACGTAAAACTGACAGTGATACCATCACCTTGGTTCATAAATAATTATCACTTCTTTTTTGTTAATACAACCCCACAGTGATACCATCACTGGCGGGTTGTATTACCCAACCCACGATGATTCTTGCCCGGTAATCATAAACAATTATCACTAGTGGTTGGTAATGCAACCCCAAAGTGATACCATCACTGGTGGGTTGTATTACCAAATGACAATGATTCTTGCCCCAAACCAAAAATCTTGTTTCAACGTGCTTAATAAGTATCGTAGTCACATCCGCTCCTCCCTCCCCCTATCTCATCTTCTCTCTCTCCCTCTCTATCTTCAACCTCCAACGCACTATCCACTCTCCTGCTAGCAAGACCCAGTGCACATGAGCTCCGCGGCCGGTGTGTGCAGGTGGCCTCCATGGCGCCACATGGGAGAGCGGGTGTGGTGAGTACGTGGGAGGTGTGGGCGGGCAGGACCTAGGGTTAGCATGTGAGGGCCAGGGTCGCAGTCAATGCTCCTCAGCACACCGGGCAGGGCATGCGACAAGGTGGTGTGGATGAAGATGATGTTTAATTATAAATCTCACCTTTCTCTCAAATGACGGCACAGCTCGCAATACACTTCATCGGCTAGATTGTCGGTGTACTTTTGCGATTCACCTTCCTCCGAGCTTTAAAATTGTCAAAGGAATTACCGTCGACAATGTTGGAACAACATTTTCTATGCAGGGAATTAGGTGGGTAGCACACAAGACACGAATCTGTTTTGGTTCAGGCAAAGGGTGAGCAACGTCAAGTGGAGAATTGATCTCTCATTTCTTGTATGCTCATAGATTCCAGGGGCGTAGATGTGTTTTTTAGGAAAAAGAAGTGTTTTTGTCTAGCTATGAAAGCTAATGTATGATGTGATCACTTAATCTGGGGCTTCCTACATCACAATTATATAGTCTAGGAGATAGAGTGACAGATAGAATTCCAATCAATTTATATGCATGTTTTCTAATTGGTTACAAGGAAATGTATCATATCACATGGAATCTACAAGGGTCTTGGTCTTTTAAGTCTCCCTCGGGCGACAACTTGCTTAGTCTTGACGTACCATGTTCAAGTTGGGCTTCACCTTTGGTATCTTTAGCCCATGCACCCTGACTATATTGGGCCCTTCTCTAGGTGGTGAGGTACCTCAGGCCCATGACACTGACAAGAACCTTCAGGAACTTGTCCAATGACGAGAAGCTTAACACACCTTTGTGGCTTGGCGTTGAAACCCAAAGACTAAAGGGGGATGCGCACCGAAGATGTGGATTAATGTTTTCAACATGGGATTAATGTTTTATTGCACGCTAACATTTATTATGGTCGTTGGAACCTATTTGATTTAAGGCTGGACAAAGCCCAATTAAACTAAAAAAAAACTAGTTAGCTTATTTTTATTGGCATGAGCACCACACATTAAATGATATGTATCGTTGCAATGCAGGGTCATACTATCTATATCTACTAGATGATACCCCGCGCGTTGCTGCGGGGATTTGTTGTATTATACTGGACTATGGAGTAACTTTTAAATAGTTAAGTTGAAAATAAAAAAATGAATGTAAAGACAATAGGTAAAATGATTGTACCATGCAGTGTACTACTGAGGTTTCAAATATCCTTTTACCCCCACGCGGCCACAGGATGCTCCAATTCCATTTTTATTCGCAAGACGTAGATGGCTGGACCAATGTGGGGCACCGGGAGCTATGGACTGCCGAGTCGAGTACAGTTGTTAAAGTAAAATACAGCAGTATGAGGCCAACGACCCCATCCCCGACCCCGACTTCCTTGACGCGTGAGAAAAAATTCTCCCATCTCTCTCTCTTCCAGTCTTCCTTCCTGGATGTTCTGTAGCACAAAAATCCCCAAAATCAATCTCCAAATTTCCCACAAAATCAAGACTGCAGTAACGGTGATATCCTAATCCGCCGCCTGCAAGCTGCATGGCCAACCGCGGAGCGGGGAGGCAGATGCGAGAAGATTGACTGAACGACATCGGTCACCGGCGTCCACTCCCTGCCGACGATCTGGAGGACATGTTGAGCTCTCCGTTCGGATCCGGCAGGCAGCAGCCATGCTCTCTCTCCCTTTGGTTGATGCAGCCGACACCTCCTGCGATTTAGTTGCGTCAGCATCTCTCCGATGCCTGGCGCACTTGGAGTTCGCGCACGCGGAGGGCGTGCCTGCGCCGCCTCTACCGGTGGTAGACTGGTAGTGGCAGAGACGACGACGCTCCAAGCCGCAAAGGGCATGATTTTGGCACGACAATAGCGGGTTCCTCGTTCCCATCCCCGACGCTGTGATGGTTCAGGTTTTTAAAGGATGGAAGCTCGTGGGTTTTTTTTTTAAAGATCCGGAACATAGCCGGCCGGCATATATTAATAAGAGGAAAGAATTACATGCGCAAGCAGCGCAAACAACTTCTCAGGTTTGACAGACCATCAAACTGGGCGAAAATAGCTAAACGGACTACTCACATTTTAAGAGTACAACAAGAGGAGACCATAACAACTTGGCCTCTAAAAACAACCGAAATGTATCTTCTAGCTTTCCAAGTCGGCTTCCAAACATTTTCTTTCGATACGCAGACCGTCTTTGCCTACAACCTGCTTGCAAGAAGCTCCATCCAAATTTCCAACAAGCAACTGTCTTGCACCGTCCAACACTAACACATGTGCAACCCATTGAAACAATGGCATGACCGACTGTCGCTTGAATGATCATACAATGCATAAGCACCATCATGGAACCACTATCTCATCTCCCCCTAACTCCGCTGCAATTGCAGCTAGGGCCTTGCAGAGCTCCTTGTTGTCCATCTTCGCTGTAGTCCGTAGTGCCTTGATCGCCTTCTCTGGGAGGTCATGTCCAAAACTGTCAACGTACTCTGTGATTGCTGCATCCGGCGCCCTCGGCTCGCCATTGATAAAGTCTAGCTCGCGCATAAGCTTGAGTTGTGCGCGTTGTGCCACCGGCACGGGGGATGGGCGAGTGGCCTGACGCAAGCTGGAGCGGGTGGGAGCTAGTGTCCTTCTGCGTCTTCTGGTACTCGACTGATCGGCCTGCTTCTTAACAACTTGAGGTGAGGCCGGCCTTGGTAGCAACGGCTCAGGAACCTTCCTGAACATCTTCCTGCAGAAGGAGGCGCAGTCACCGTTGTCCTCTGTCTCAGTGCAGCCCTCAGTGTCCTCTGCTCCCTGCAAATCAGTATCCTCATTGATAATGTTTTCTTCAGCCGCTGGACTTGCCATCACAGCCAGGTCGACAACGGCAGAGTCCGTGCTAACACCCCAGCCCGCGGCGCCAAGGGGCGCACCGTCATCTGGGCAGGGACAGGGGCTGGCCGATGGCAAAACCGCACGACAGTTGGCCTCTAGCATCATCGGATCATGGTGCCCCAAGAAGTGACTGGCCGGAGTAGTCGTCGTACTGTGGGGGTCAGCTAAAGGATCATGACTCACCGACCCAGCTTGATGGAGCTCCGATGGCTCACCCGTCGTATTTTGGCGCATCGGTGACCGCGAGCGACGTCGTTCCCACTCCTCAGCTGCGTGGGGAAGGTAGTCTCTCCTCCTCTGCCCCCTATCGGAGAGCGGCTGATGGGGCGGCCTCGGTCCATGGGCTCCGCGTTCTCCATCCCAGCGTGATACTTTGACGCCCGCCTGAACTCCACCACGAAGACCCCCGGCTTGTGCCTGGTCACCATGATGTTGTGGTGGTGAATATGCAGCTGTTGGCTCAGCGCATAGGCAACCTCCGGGATACTTGGGCAGCACACATCCTGTGGCGCCGAAGTAATAACAGTAGCGGCCTTGGCTGGGTGCGGTGAGGTGGAGCTGGTGGGTGGTGGATTGGTCGTTGAGGGGTGGCGTAGCGGCGGAAAGGCTATTCGGCTGTGGATGTTTTCTGGTGGAAAACAGAGTCTGGAACGGAGTGAGGAAGAGATGAAACGGCTGTGGATGCTCTCAGGTGGGAAGGTGAGGCGGGGGCAAAGCTTGTCGGAGACGGTGCGTGGATGGCGCGATGGGCAGGAGCGGGAGAGGTGCCCCACCCGGTGGCGGGTGATGCAACGAACAGGATCATGGCAGTGAGTGACTTGGTGGTCTGAGGCGAGGCACCGAAAACACCTTCCGGCGAAGCGCTTCTTAAATGCAGCGAATGCCGCGGATGGAGATCCTCTTGGCGCCGGCTTGGATGCGGCGGTGTCCGGATGCGGTACCGGCGGCGCACGCGACCGTCGTCCAACCTTTGCGTGTTGCCACTTTGGTGAAATTGGCTCCTCCTGCCCCGCAATAACTCCGGCGGGTGCGCCCATCTCCCATCTTGAATCGGGGGAGCAGTAAAGATTCTCCCCGGGTTGGGTGGCCGGCGTCGTGGAGCTGGAAGCCATGGCCTTGCCAGAGCCTTCTGCGGTGGCCAGCGCTGCACCTTCAGCACGCGTAGCTCCTTGCTTCCTCAGGTCAGGGGGCGAGCAGATCGAGATGTCCATCGCCGCAGCGGTAGCGGAACCGCCCGATCCGCCAGCTGCAGGAGCAGATCCACCGGGGACTTCAATTGGCACAAGCTTCGCTGGGGCAGGGGAGCTGGGGCCTGACCTCGGGTGCTCTGCATCTTCTCCGGCACAAGCTTGGGAGTAAATGTGGACAGGGCTCTCGTCACCCCAGTCCAGAAGCTCCTCGTCGCCTGCGCCAAGGAGGGCCTCCAGGACTTGCTCAGACGATGCGGCCGGGGTGAGGGATGGTGGATCTGTGGCGGGGATGGAGGGCGGGGGCGGGGTGGACGGCGGCGGCCGGAGGGACGCCGGCGGTGGGGTGGGCTGGGGCTCTCGCTCACCAGGGCTCTCCATTCCTGCCTCCGAGGTCTTATCAACACTAGATGCACTGAACCTCAATATCGCCTGATGGAAGCTCGTGGGTAGGGAATTAGAAAAGGATATCAGTTTCTAGAATTGGAAACGAATCGTTTCATGAATCATGAGCCATGAATTTCCACGGCCAGCGGGAGACTCTTGGCTTGCACCGGCGGCAGTTACTTCAGAGCGGCGGAATAATGAGACTGGAATGGGGGTCGACGGGCGTGTAGCGTGGAGGGAAGCGATCGTGCGGGGCAGGGGCGTGCGGCATGGGGGAGGAAAGGCTGATGACGTGGCTCTCTCAGAATGCAGAAAAATATGGTAGTAGGAGTCTCCTATTTAGACATAGAGGATACCTAATATTAAAGAACAACAAATTCTCTCCCTCGGCCGGTCGTTCCTCACCTCCAATATCTCTTCTCCTGTCACTTCTTCAATCTCTCTTCTCCAAATATAAAAGAACTCATGCTTAAATTTGAATTTTGAAGCAACAAGTGATGGACTCTTATGATTAAAAAATGAAGTCGGTTATGATGGCCCAAATATTGAATGCTCCAAGGTATTAAATTAAAATGATAACACCTTGAAGAAATGAACTTGAACTTGAAGTGGAAAGGTACTTGATGTCGAAGTTGTTGGGATTCAATAATGAACCAAGGCTATCTATATTCAGCACTTGTGCAACCCGATTGAGGCCCAATAAGCTTTATAATTCAAGAGGCTATACAATGAACGAAGAGATGCTCAAAAGCTTCCATAACTTGCTGACTACAAAGAACACAATCCTAGAGGTAGGCTTTGTCAAAAAAAATCCTAGATTGGTGAATTTGTAGTTTTTTTCTCTGAAGACGGCCCTGTGTTCAGTATGTCCGTCATGGGTAACCAGAAAAGGCTTGATGCTTTTAGTGAGAAGATGATTTCTGTAGCAACCTAAGATCTGTTTTAAGTTAGTAATAGAAGTTAGTACCTTGACAAGATCCAATTAATTGTTCTTCGTATTTTATAAACCTGCTTGAAATGCAAAGTAAAAAACAAAAACCAATATTTACATTGACATGTCTAACTTGGGTTGTCTCATTTCTAGCATAATAGCTTAGCTAGCATTGTCTTGGGGTGGGCATGAGCTTAATTGTAATCCTCTCGAGCCCCCACAGCACGGGCAAAACGCTTTGTACTCAAACCTCTCCTTTGTTAATACTACAAAGACACGCAAACTTTTTGGGTGTTCGAGAAAAACGAAACATTGACATGTGTGCCTGCATGAAAATAGTGACCGCATGCACCGTACTCCACCCTCTTTTTCTCTTGCATTGCTTAATTTGTCGCTATCACCACAAAATTAAGTTGGACCAAGCACGCATAGAAATTAAGACATGCATGCCGTGAGATTAATTAGACTCTAATTATTAGAGTGCAACGTCATTCTTTACTACATACTCGACTTGAACCAGTCAAAGCAAGAATAATACTACTAGAGAACAGACTTTAGAACGATATTCCAATTTGGCATTAGTCTCGGTATTTTTTTGCCCCGGGACTAAAGGAGGGGTTGGTAATACCAACCGGGACTAAAGGTTCTTTTACTCCCGGTTGGAACCACCAACCGGAACTAAAAGTCCTCCAACCTTTACTAAAGGTAGACCCTTTAGTCCTGGTTAGTAACAGCAACCCAGACTAAAGGATCCTTTAGTCCCGGTTGGTAACACCAACCGGGACTAAAGGTCCCCCGATGGGTTAGTTCAAAAGGAAAGCATCCCATCCATTGTTAGATGTGTTGTGTAGGTGGGGTGGTAAGCTCGCGCGAGGCAGTGCATGAGGTCTTGGGTTCGAATCTCATAGGGCGCAGCGGTGGGAGGCATTATTTTTTTTAAGCTGGGAGGATCTTTAGTCCCGGTTGTGGCAAACCGGGACTAAAGAACACCACCTTTAGTCTCGGAACGCTAGTCTCGGTCGGAAAACCGGGACTAAAACCAGTTCCCAACCGGGACTAGATGTCAGTTCTGTAGTAGTAAAATCACATAATAATAATAATGTTATGACACGTACTTTAGAGCATCTTCATTAAATTTAGAGATAATATGTGTTCAATCAAACAATTGTAAATAAAGAACCGATTTAGTGCATACAGGAGCTGGAGAAAGCACCTTATAGTTCTTCACATGCAAAAAGTATGGTACTCAAGAAAAAATGTTTGTATACACATAACAAAAGACAAATGATTGATTATTACTTATTCAAACAAACAGATCGACATAATCTCAACAAAATAGTGCAACATAATGATTTCACAAAAGTAGGACGTTATTGAAAATCCTCAACAGATAGATAGATAGATAGTGTGCACTGCTTCTTAATTAATCCTTCTGCAGTTCTTCCTGATCTCCCCCTTGGAGCCAGTCAACGGTGTGATGTCACCCATCTTGATCATGCCGGTCACAAAGTCCGCAAAGAACGCGCTCCGGCTATGAACATATGATTGGACTTGCGCATCGGTGGATCTACCGTTGAAGAGCTCCTGGTCAGAGTGTAGAAGCCCCTTCTTGGAAACAAGGTTCTTGTAGTAGTTGTTTTCAAAGACAGTTGGGGTCTGAAGGTCCAGAGGCGCCAAATTGTTGTCACCTGAACCTGAGGTCCTAGGGCAAACCGATTGCCTATATCTTGCGAAGCTGCCGTCGATGTTGGTGTCGTTGTAAACGTGGGCTCTGAAGCTGGTGCAACGTGCTAGGCCAATGGTGTGAGCTCCTGGCAAAGAGACAAAGCCAACAGTGTGTAATGGCTATAGATTCACCAAATTTGAGAGACAGGTTTTCTTGGAGAATTAGAGTTGCATTTATTTACAGATAGTAGTTATTTACTAATGCACAGTGGGAATAGTATAAATATACGCACCAGAGAGCGCGACCATGTCCTTCTGGGAGAGGCCTTGCGCGGCGAAGAGCGACGTGAGGTTGGCGAGGCCTGACGTCGGCGGCGGGATGTTGTTGTTGGCGCCGCTGAAGCTCGCCGTCCTCGAGTCCCTCCTCCCAACCTTCACGTCCCATCTCGGACCACCCAGCTGCATCAGTTGCAGTTGCAGGTTCAGTCTCATGCATCTTTCTAGCTCTAAATTAAAATTGATTCAAAGAATATACTATACTACAAGGGCCGGCTACATAGGTAGGCTTACGATGACGACGCTGTCTCTTGCGGCGATGGCGAGGATGTCGGCGCAGGAGACGACGCCGGGGCACACCTTCTCGACGGCGGACTTGATGGCGTCGATGACCTCGAATCCTCTGGCGGAGCCGTTGTTGGGCGTCGCCATCTTCTCGCCCTGGAAGCTGGGCGTGTCATCCAGCAACAGCGAGGCGTCGCAACCCTACACCATGATCGATCGATCACATTATAATCACTAGCTAGTGATAGTCACAAATGGCGGAGCGAGCGACTACTGTTATGTACGTACTTGGACGAAGCAGTCGTGGAAGAAGAGACGGAGGATGGAGGCGCCCATGCGCTGCTCCCTGGCGATGGCGGCCTGCAACACCGACCAGACGGCGTCGTACACGCCGGGGCACGAGTGGGAGTAGAAGCTGGTGCACAGCGGCTGCGGGGCCGCCGACGAGGTGCCAGTGCCGGCCGCCAGCACGAGCAGCAGCAGGAGAGCGACGCCGCCTTTGCCGCTGCATCTCGCAGCTGATGATGATGCTGCAGCCATCTCTGGAGTGCAGTGAGGTGTACTGCTTGTTGGAGCTCTGGAGGTAGTAGCTAGCTTGCTGGGGAACATGGACATCAGGACATCCATATTTATAGCAGAAACAGCTGGACTCAGTCTGTTAGTGGAATAAGCTCATCTTCATGCGCAAGGTAGTATAGCAAGCATACCATGCATGCATGAAAATTGTATATGATTAGCTAGGTTAGATCATGTCATGTACCGGCTTCACCTCACCAACTATGTTGGACTTTGATCCGGCCAGTTGAAAAGCCGGCAATCAAGGCTGCTTGCATGCCCAACAGCTCGGAATCACTCGCGGCTAGCCTTTCACACTGCTACTGTATATGCAGCTATAGACTGTGTCTGTACTTTAGGAAAGCGTGCAAGCAACGTATGTATTGTATAAAAGCAATGCAACAGAGAAACACGGTTTGATAAAAAATTACCCTATCTTTTTCTTGATGGATAAAAATTACCCTATCTAGCACCCTACCCGTGAATGGCTGCCATTTTTTAAAAAATAGAATCCTATACTAGGGAAACACGGTTCGGCGAAGCTACGACTCCTACCCCGTATTTATTTATTTCTGCTGAACTGATCAAGATTTTGATCATCAACAGTTGCAGTTGCAGATATATGGTTGGATTCTCTCTTCACAGAGATCGAAAGACCAGATATACCTGGAAGCATTCAGAGGACCTTTAGTCCCGGATTCGTAGTCCTGGTTGGGAAACCGGGACTAGAGCCAGTTCCCAACCGGGACTATAAGCCATTTGTGTACTAGTGAGAATTACATATGTGCTCACATCAGCATTCATCAGGGGCTCCTTCTGCACACTATGCTACTATGCATAGTTCATATGTTGTCGGAAACATTCAGATCGAGGCCCAGGCTACACATAACTACTCACATCACCATCATGGAAATAATTCAGAGACAAGCCTGTCACTGGTAGTGGCTGCTGCCTTGGGAGAACATTGGTCATATACTTGTATTAAAAAAAAACAATTTGGTAAACTGTACAATTTGACTACGCTATCCATCAAGATCACATATCCTATCCAAACTGAGTGTGGTTCAGCTGGATGAGTTCCTTGCAGTGGATCCTGTCCACCTAGCCTAAGCCCCCAACTTTTTTTATGAAACGCTAAGTCCCCAACTTGACACATGTACTCGTATTTTTCTGGATTTATTTCAAGATTTAATTAACGACATTATTCTTTCATTGGTACACGACGTGTCCATCGACATCGCGAGACACATGTGGTAATAAATTCGTGAATCTCGAGATTTGC